CTAAAAGTTACACACTGTAGCTTTAGAACAGCATGAGAATTTTTTTTTTTTTTTTGTGGTTGGTTTTCTTTTTTTCTTATATGATTTTATTTGTTAAATTTGAATTCATTCTATTTGTTTTATCCTTTAAACTTATATGTTTTTATCCATATTTTGACTTTCTTCGGTATGTACAGCATTTTGTGGCAGCTGTGGTTGTTTTAAAGGGCTTTATAAATAAAGTTGAGTTGAGCTAAAAGGGATAGTTTAGCTTTGTTTGAAATGTTCACCGTCTGTAGCTGACATGTAGAAGTGTCCTTACCGTCACAAACCCTCCTGCTCTGAGAAACAGACGGTAATGTACCAGAGAAAGAGCGGTAGCTCTGCATTACAGTGCCCAAATAATCAAAGGTTTTTAAGTTAGAAAACTAGGCATGTGTTTTGTTAGATTATTTAATCATTTTATAACATCCTGGAGATATGTCAGATATCAACTGGACTATTTCTTTTGCTGCCATCACTCCACTGCATTGCTTCAGCAGATGGTTCCTGAGCAGGGAAATAAACAGCTCATCAGCACGCCAAATAGTTAAACGTTATTTAACTATGCTGTCCATAGCGGATCCTTCCTCAGGCCGTTAATAAACTGTTATGTTTATTTCTGTCTTCCGCAACTATAGTAGCCCAAAAATATTCCTAATCGATGTCAGGGTGTGACACGTCTATGGGATGTTTCAAAATTGTTAAAACAGTTTAACAAAACTTCATGTCCAAAAACCTGAACTATCCCTATAAGTATTTCCACATAATTATCTCTCCTTTTCCGTCGTCTTTTTTTGAAGTCCACCAGTTCCTCTTGCAGCTTAGCACATGATGCAGTAACTCATTTTACCTTACAGTTGCTATTTGGTTCAAATATGCAAACTTCCTTGTTTTTCTCACAAATGCAAGAGTCTGTAAAATGGCTTTGAAAACCTTTTGTGTCATCCTTTAAAAAAAAAAAAAAAAAAAAAAAAACAGCTTCTGATTTGCTTTTGGCTTATGTTTGGACAGGACTTTTTGTTTTGTGGACACCATTTTAAAGCATAATATGCTTTTGTTCTTTGATTAATTCAAACAGTTTATAGTAAAACAAGTTAAATCTCCATGATATCAACCCGTTTAGCGGTCTGTTTCTGTATATAATGATAAACATGGAAACCTGAGACATTGAGATATTAAACCTGAAGTTGAATCAGAGTTCCGACCGATCTGAACTAAAGCTGAAACAATTATTCAGGATTAATCGATTATTGAAATAATTGTCAACTAATTTAGTTAGCGATTTAATATTAACTGGAGTTCAGAGACACTAAAAGGGGTCTTTAGCTGACAGAGCAACCCGCCTTGAGCAGCAGTTATACAAATAAAATAAAATACTCACATTTTGTATTTCAGATAAAAATCAACACAACTTTTTCTTCTGTGAATATGCTCTATCCAGAACTCCTCAAGTGGAAAAGTTTCCCCTGGTTTAATGATGTAAAATGTCTTCTTTAAGGAACCTTCTGCTATCCAATTATTACTAAAAATTATTAATAAAAATCTCAACATAGAATCTAAACCACTTGTTTGAAGTATATATTGAAGCTCTGAAAGCTTGGTTGCCTTGTTGCACCAGAATAGCGGAAGTGGAGGTGGATTAACTACAGGGTTATGTTTAGGTTTTCTGAAGTAACAGGAAATGAATCATTTCTGTTTATATATATATATATATATATGCATGAGCTATTATGTGGTTAAAGGATATTTCTGACCCTTTCATCTTCATGCTTTTCTCCTTCTATTTCCAGTTGGTCCAGCCTACCCTCCCCAGCAGCCGATGCCTTACAGCCAGGCGGCATACAGCCCCGGACAGCCAGCATACCCCCTACAACCTCCCGCACACCCACAGCCAAATCCTCCACCCGCTCAATCAGACTTCCTAGCACAGCCTGCATACAACCCAGATTATGTTGTCCCACCCAAAACGGGGTGAAGTTATCTGTTATTAAAACTATTCTATCTTTTGCTGAGCGGGAAGGAAAAAAGTGTTAGATAAGATAAGAAATTCTACAGAAAATGGCTTCCTTTAGTTTGATGGTAAACATGGAAATGTAACGGCTGAACATTTGTTGTTCAAATGTCCCAAATTACAGAAATATTGATGCCTTTTGACTTGTTTTGCAATGATATTCAACATGTGTATTTACTTATATATGTACGGTCTGATTCCAGTTTACCTGTGGCCCCTTTGATATCTTGGGGAAATTAACATCAAAACAGCTGTTATAGTTTTTTAAAGAATAAAGAAATAGTTTTTGTTTTCTGACCATGCCTCAAAGATTTCTGCCTGCCTTTGATGTCCACCAGTCAAACCTACTGGTTGGACTCCTAAGCAAACTGCTGCAAATAGGAAATTTGACTAAAAAGAAATTCCTTCATACGTGCTTTAAGCTTCTTTTTTTCTAACCATACTCTTGTTTTTATACTGGTGTTAAGTGGGTATTAGTTTTTATTGCACTTCTGGGATACTTTATTTTTCTAAGCAGTCATTAAAGGGAACATTTCATTTGTCATCAGTACAGAAAACTTAAAAGCTGTTGTTTTTACATGTTGATTTCATAATTTTGAGATTCTGTTAATTGTCAAATGTGCATCTGTGTGCTAAAGTGCATTCATTCCTTCCTTTAGCATTCCTTATGAGAAATGTTACATATTTAAAATGTGAGATGCACATGTGCCTTGATAGCAAACTTATGGACCACGGACAATGTCATGCAGTCTGATAGCTTCAGATTTTTTTATTTTGAATCAATATTGTTAATTTGAATGAGAGCACCTTAAAATGATACTTGTCCTTTTTTATTTTGTTTATTTGTTTTATTTTTCCTTGATATTCAGCATTCAATTTGGACATGACACTTATGTTTTTTTTGTTTAACCACATTAGAACCCAGAATTGTTTTCAATGTTTTCAGCAAACACACTGCTGCACAACTGATATGCTACGTTCAGAACACGCGCTAGAAGCAGCTAGTTCACATGCAATGGCAAAAGTGACACGCATCAGGGCGCAGCAAAAGTTCTTGCAGCACGTTTTGAGCAGCAGGGGCAGCGCATCTTGACACATCTGAGCAGCTGAAGCAGCACCTCATGAGCTTCTGAGCATCTGACGCGTGGGACGCACTAAACGCGCCACATCAACCAATCAGAGAAGCTGATCTGGGGGCTGGCAGGGAGACGGACACAGCACTACTAATGCAGATTGCTATTACGCCACTGAAATGGTTCATTTATGCCTAAGTTACATGCAGAATTTTTTTTGATTTTATTATTCTGGTGCCTGCAGTTTGGATTACGTCCATGAAAAAAGCCTTGCAGGTGCCGCGAAAAGTGATAGAAAACTGAAGGCGACCAGGCCAGAGGCTGCTGTTGAAGGGGCTTCCCAGTGACAGTGCACCGCCGTACAGCCGCCATTAAAAAATATAATTAAAACGACTTTTTACCCTCTTATAACAGGAAATATAGCAAAGCCGCTCTCTGCCATTGAACACAGAAGCATCGGACGCATCTGGACGTGCTTCAGGCGCTTCAAAGATGCTCTTGAAGCATGTCTGACCTTAAGGTGTAAAAGCATCAAAAATGAAGCAGCAGAAGCTTTTTTGCTGCTTCCAGCGCTTACGGTCTGAACGTAGCATTTGTTAAGGATCCTTGGTTTCTGCTTTCGTCTATTTTGTCTCTTGTCCTTTTGTTAAATGTTTTTTTTCTTTCTCTGAAATTTTTTTGGAAATGTTTCCTTTACTTGTGATCCTGTTTAAACAGGAAAAGAAAAGTTATTGGTTTGTTTCTGGTTCTTCTACTTTATATCCATCAAGGTCCAGCTTTAGTTATTCAACTGGGCCTTTCAGATTTCTTTAGATCCCTGTTACTAGGGCAAGATCAACATCTCAGTTTTTAGTTTATTGTCTTCTCATCTGTAGAATTTTTTTTTCACACGTTACCCTTCATTTAACAGGATTTCATCTAATTTATTTTTTCTTCTTGCATCTCATTTAAATTTAACTTCAATGAAAAGATGTATAAAACATTCAGCTAAATTTAATGTCTTGCAAAATAAAATGATGTCCTCAATTTGTTTTTTGGCTTCAAAAACATCACTATAATTACAGCTGATGACGATTGATTACGGCAGGCAGATTTTTACACTCCATGCTTGTGGTTTCTTAATCTAAGCAGTTACTCTGCACTGTATTTGAAATATAGTCTTTGTTTTTTTTTCTCTTATAATTTCAATATGTAATATCTTTTATTGTAGTTTTATGTGAAAGGAATGGATTATATAAAAAGGTTATTAATATTTTAAGCCCATTGGCTCAAAGTGTAGAACCCTTGTTTCCTTGTGATCACAGATGCAACCTTTTTTGGGTTTTCCAGCTTTATACATCTACAGACTGAAACTTGGGCTTTTCTTCTATTAAAGTTCATGCTCTGGCTGAATAGAGAGTCCATGATCATTGATCTTCAAATCTTAAAGATTAATTACATTTTAGCTCGGAATTTAACTAGGCCATTCTGACACATTATTATGCTTTAATATAAACTGCTGCGGCTGCGTTCAGGGCTCTCATCCTGCTGGGAGGTAAACCTCAGTCCCTCATTTGTTTCACAGACTGTTTTCTTACAGTATTTCCAGTTGTTCAGTTCCATTTGTCCAAGTGGCCCTACGCTGCACTGCTGACCTCAACATGGCTTCTTATAGAGGTGAATTACTCCACCTGAGCTGTGGATGCTTGCAGCTCCTCCAGAGCCACTTTAACATTGATTTTTGACATTTTATTAATGCTGTCCTTGCCCAGTTTTTCAGTTGGGTAGATGACCATGTCTTTGTTAGCGTAACAGGGATCCCATAGCCTCTAATTCAGGTTAATGAATTGAATGTTCTCTATCACAATACAGCAGGGCTTTTATCACCTGAGAAAGCTGAAGTTTTCTGTGCAGACAGCTTTTTGAGCATTTTTGAATCCATTGTGGCTTAGGCAATGTTCTATGATGTTACCTGCTGAAGAAGCTGCAGGTTAACCTGCTGCATCCCAGTTGATTGTTGTGTTATCCTCCTTCCTCTAGGCACTGCACATGGTTCAGCCCATAAAACGATAGAGAAATATATTTGGGAAAGAAACCAGCAAATCTAAGGCTTTGAGATGCTATCTGGGCCTCTGTCATAGAATAGTAACCATTAATAAATGGTAAAAAAAAAAAAAAAAAAAGGCTAAATAACTGGTCCTCACCTCAGCTGTTTGTCTTAATCTGCATCTTTTGTATTCTTAATGTCACATTATAAAAATAAAACTATATTTTATAGCCACCTGTTTTCTTGCCTGACCCCATTCTGGGTTCTAGTGTGCTAGAACAAATTTTTAGCAGTCTTTGTACTTTGTTTTGTAAGTCTTAAATATAATTTCCGGCAAATCTGCCCACTTTAAGGAAATCCATTGAATAAAGAGCAAACATTTTTTTATAATTTTTTTTATATTTCACCATATACTGGTATAAATAAGAGACTGTGATGTTATATTTAGTGTTTTTCTTATTGGCTTCTGGTTAAAACCAATACAATTATCTTACCTGAGGTTATCCAAAAGGTTTATATACAGAGAGCAAGGAGTTAAAATATGACGGGCTTTGGTAACTTTAAGTAAAGAAAAAGTTAACCTGTCATGCCAAACTTTAGAGTTAATTTGGGGTGGTGTCATAAGCAGTCTCGTTAATTTAAATCAAGACACAAAGGGCCGGATCTATCAAAGGTTTGCGTGTATAAAAACGTGAGCTATTTCACTGCGCACGCTAAAAAATGTACAAACTGATCTATCAACAGCGTGCTAAAAGGATTTGGTCTTTAAAACGTGCTAAATAGCGCCTCTTATACATTTAGTACTTTTTCTGCAATGAATATCCAATATGGGTCGTTTACACGCAAAATTGCGTCTTGTAGGAGGAGAACATGGACATA